GGATGTGCTAACTGGAGCTGCAGTGACCATTAAGAGGCACTTCTCAAATGGTTCCAAGCTGCTGTGGTGAGAGGGCTGGGGTAGTCCTCTCTCCCTGGGGCAGCCTGCTTACTGAACCCCTCATCCCTAGTCCTACCCCAGAGCAATGATTTAAATGAAGCATGTATATTTTCATTTTATTTTCTAAAAACCAAAAATTAGTTAATGACTCGAGCAACACTAGGTAAATCTTTTAGTAATAAAAAAACTGCATGTGTGTGTATACTATGCCTTGTGAAATGCAGAGTGCCCCTCAACATTTATTACTACTACTTCTGTCAGTGGTATTCTAATGTTCAGACAGAACCCAAATTCCAGTCAATGGGTCTTGCTGAGGGTTCCTCCAACTTACCCCATACCCTCCATTTTCTTCTCTCCATCAGCCTCCCTGAATTATTTTCAGATAAAGCAGTAAGTTCTCACTGAGAGGTAGTACCTTCAGAAAATTATTTCCAACATGCATACCATTTGGTAACAACTGTGGATTCCTGCCATGCACAATGAAGTCCTGGTCCATGACTAGGGCTCTTACATGCATGATAATACAAATAAATAACAAATAGTTGGTATACGATCAACTCATTTGAACACTTGCTTAAGTGCTTGCTAGATTGGGGCCATAGTGTATCCCCAGTGCCCTTCAGGATTGCCATTATTAACCACTTAATACCTTGTAGGCATCACAGCACATTTGGGTCATCAGCGGACTGGAACATGGAAAGGCTAATGCATTGCAGACGAGCTGAGAGTGTTCACAGATAAGAAATAGTATGGAAGAAAACAGAGTTGTGGGAGAAACAGCCAGGCTCGAATCATGGGTGGAGCAGAAGAGATGGAAGAAAAACACAAGCGTCCAGAATAAGAAAGTTATGAAGGAGCAGAGCTATGTATGTCCTTGAATTATAGGACAAGCAGCTTGAATATGATGTAGAGGAGCCAATGGAGCCAAGGGAAGAAGGGAAGACAATGGAGCGATTCGAAGACGGGGCAACATGAATGGGCAAAAAAGAATACAAAAGTCGACCTACCTCCCTCACTTTATCCTGTTATCTGCCCCATCTCTCCTCCTTTCCTGTTCTCCATTTCCTACTAACACATGCTGTAAAAGACCTGTACCTTTTTCCATAACTGGTGTTCTTCAAGATGTGTTGTTCATGTCCACTCAACACAAGCATATGTGTTCGCCGCAAGCACTGGTGCCAGAAAATTTTCCTTCAGTAATATCTGTAGGGGACTGGCTCCAGCACCCCATGGAGTGGTACACACATGCCACGCTCTACAGGGCCTGCCTGACTCCTTCAGTTCCTTCTTGTCAGAAACTCCGACAGAGAGGAAAGGAGGGTGGGAAATTGGATGGACGTGAGCAACACATCTCGAAGAACACAAGATATAGAAACAGGTAACAGTCTTTTCTTTTTCAAGTGCTTGCTCATGACCACTCAATGTCGGTAAGTCTAAGCAGTATCAGTGGAGATGGGTAGAAGTTTTAGGACATGCTGAAAGCAACACTGCTTTGCTGAACCCAGTGTCATCGCAGGCCTGCTGCATGATGGCATAATGGGCCATGAACATAAGTACCAAAGACCACATTGCAGTCTTGCTGATTGCTCTGAATGGGAATATGTGTCAGGAAGGCCCCCAAAGAGAATTTGCCCTCACCAACTAGGGCAGTCAAGCTGTAGCATGCCCCAATACAGGAGATGATTCACTTGGAAATCCTCTGTGAGGACCTTTGAAAGATTCAGAGTAGACCACAAATAGCTGGGAGGTCTTACAAAAGGGCTTTATCTATTCTAGGTAAAAAACAAGGACCCTCCTGAAGTCCAGAGCACTGAGGTGCCTTTCCTCACTAGTCTTATGGGACTTGAGGTAGAAGACTAGAAGGAAGATATCCTGACCTGTACGGACAGCAGAAATGACTTTGGGAAAGAAGGCCAAGTGAGGCCTGAGCTGTACCTTATCCTTGAAAAAACTATGTACGGGGGTTCCGACTTCAAATACTCTCCCAGATGACATAATTGCCACTAAAAAGGCCTTCTTACAGAAAGAAAGCAGCCGTGATCCTGTGATAGTAGATCCGTGTAGACTGGCAAAAGGCAGAAGCTGCTTCACTAAGACTCATGGAAGTGCCGTAACAATGCTGGCATGGCCATGCTGGTACGATGAGTATTACTTGTGCTGTGTCCTGTTTGATCTTCTGCAAGTCCTTGTTGAACACTGGAAATGACAGAGATGCATACACAAGGTCGGCTTGAGCCATTCCTATGCCCCGGCACGCTGCGGACCTTACAGGTGCAATCGAGCGCCCCTTACAGATGCCATCAGGCGCCCCCCATAGGTTGGTGCCCCAGGCAGCTGCCCAGCTAGCCCCCGCCTTAATCCAGCCCTGTCCATACATGAGGCCTTCTGTCCAAGGAAGAAGGAAATCACGTCTGAGGAAACCTTCCTTTAGACCCAGCCTCTCTGGTGAGGCCCTGACACTACTGGCATTGGCAGCACCAGCATGAAGATGATGTCCTGGGCCACCTGGAATGCCTCCGGGGTGGAAGGGACCTGGATGCTTGGGGAGGGTGGCAAGGAGCACACAGGATTACTCTGCTCCACCTAGGCTGAAACCTTGTCCAGCACTTGTTCTTTCCTGCATTCCTCCATTTGTTTGGGCTTCCGGGGAACTTGTCCTTGCCTGATTTTTTGGTTCTCTTGGATGGAGCCACTGAAGACACCTTGTGTTGGCTGGTCGACAGTGTCAGGGGAATGCTCTGCACTACGTCACACGTACTCAGGGCAGAGTCAGAACATTGGTCCTGGGGAGCGAGGGCAGACACCATAAGTAACACCTTGAGAGAACTCCGTCCTGGGTCAAAAGGGCCTGCAGATACAACACTTCTCACTGATGAGGGACTTGCCAAGAAAAGCAGTTGCCATGTGGATCACTAACTAACATAGGCCTATGTGCTCTGTGTGCTACCCCATCTCCTCCCCTCTCCATGAAAGGGGGCCTCAGAAGAGGGGGCGAGGCTGTAGGTGAGGCTTGGGGCATACCTCCCCCAGCCCCTGCTGCACCAACTGCCCATGGCTGCAAAACTGAGCTTCTCCTGCAAGCTCGGTTCTTTGTACTTCAGCTGTTTAGCTAGTGCAGAAAGCCATTAGTGCCTTTGAACACGCCTGCTGCCATCTGCAGGAATTGCACTTAGTTGATAAGTTAGAGAGCTCCTACTGGGAGCAGGGAACAAGCATCACCAATTACTGTTCCTCCTTCTTCCTGCTAAAGTAGCACAAAGGCACTTAGTAAAAGAAGGAGATCAGAATCCCTGCTAAACCATACACTTGTGTACACGCCAATCAGCCTTGGAGATTAAAAATCAGTAAAGAAATGCAGGATTGGAGTAGGGGGACTGACAGCTAAAGGCTGTAAGCATCCTCTAAAAAAAATAAAAATAAATACAGGCTATAAATATTGTTTGTTACACCTTGGATTGCCAAACAGCACTATTGTCTTGGACTCAATATGTGCTTGCACTATTATCTTTCTGGTTTCTGAACTACTGACCGGCAGCCTGCGATTAGCTGAGGCAGGATGGGGCTGTAATTTATGGCTGATCACAAATTCTTTTTATTAGTATTTTGGCTTATGTCCTAGCGTAGCACTTATTTTGTCTGTTATCTTATATAGCTCTTCAGTGTCTTAGTTAATGCACGCATTGGTTACAATGTGTATTACTGATATACAAAAAGTATGTTATTGTTTGTAAAGAGACAGCATACCTTTAGAATAATAAAACAAGTCCAAAGGAAGCAGAATATATACATGCATCCATACTTCCAATTTAACTATATAACTTCATTTGATAGCTCTCCCCAATGTTGTCCATTAGCTATTATTTGTAGAACAACTTTTAGAGTTCCCAACTGAAGTCAGGATCCCATCGAACTGGGTTCTGTACATATATTGCCAGTACTGTACCCCAATCTCTAATTTATTATTTTAACTTCAAGCTTAATGAAGCTTTTATTTTTTGAGAATAAAATTCTGAACACTTTTCATTGATGTTCCAGAAGATAAGAGGTTGGACAAGCAGAAAGTTGGACACTTACCGTTTAATCAAACCATTTCACAATTTTTAAAGGACTATCCTGGTTATACCAGTTAAAAGTTTTGCTTAGGGAGGTAACCTCAAGAGAAACAGCTAGTTTTCAGAGGGACCCCACATAATCGTGACTGAAAGGAGATTAAGTTATTCCATTGTCAGACTTTTGATATAAAGAAAGAGAAATAACCATCTTAAGTAAAACAAACAAACAAAAATACAAAACCACACAACATCAGTCAAACGATCAATAAAGATGGCCATTCTGTGGTTAGCTATAGTCAAAGAACGACTGCTGAACTATATCAACATGCTTTACTTGGTGCAGGTGTTAACAAGCAGTGCATTTTATAGTTCCTGTCTTTAAAATTAAATACTTCCTTTAGTAAAAAAGTTAAAAATATTAACCACTTAAAATGAGAGTGATTCAGCAACTTGTTACTGAAATGTTCCAATAATAAGAAGAGTATTAAAGAATTTCTAGAACCCTCGCCCAAACAAGGCATCATATAGTAACATAGGTTTTGTTTTGGGTTTTTTTGAGCGAATCCAAGATGGTATCAAATGGAAGTTTTACAAGTTTTCTTGTTCTCAGCAGTTTTTGTTTCTTGAACTTTGTTTCCACCCAAGTTATAGTGTCGCAAATGTATTTAACACCATATAGCATTCCAATGCATGATTGCCATGTCACAAGCTTTTTCACACCTAAATCTTTTCTAAAATCTAATTAGTTGCAACTGAAACAGCAGAAAATGCAAGTGCTTAGTAGATGTGTTGTTGTTATGAGAAATAATGGCTGAATGAGGAAAAACCCATACAATCGCAACATTTTAAAATGTGAAGCGTGCACAAAACCACACACTTTGAGCTAACCTGCCATAGCGTTGTGCTGCTGGAATGACCTTTATACCAGCTTGTTCAAGCCTTTGTAACTTTGTGATCTCTTCTGCATCTTTGTCTTTGCACTTGTGCACTGCAGTTTCTTTGCCACTACTTGAAGGAAACTGACCTGTAGCACCTCCTTCATTTTGATTGAAATCTACTTGACTTTTACTGGGGTTTGTCCTGGAAGCCATGCATCCCACATGCTCCTGTTCATGTTGTCTTGGTACCTCATTTTGTTCTTCTTCTATGGTTTCAGGGGTATTTTTGCTAGTGAGTTATACAAGGTCGTTTACTGTACATTACTTTCCGCATGCATTTTGCTGATACTAACATTTCAAATAATATTTTGGCTAATCATGCTATTTTGAAGACAAATTAAAATAAAAAACCTTAAGGATAAAATATATGAAATCTTAGAGTACATGCTAAAACTAAATTAATGTAACTGATGCACAATAGAATTATTTTCAAAATTGAAGAACAGAGAGATAACTAAGTTGATTAATATATATCACATGAAGACGTATTCACTGAAAATGAAACACCTCTTGAAAACTGACTTGCATTATCAAAGACCACAAAGAGCAACAAACAAACTTTTGACAGTTATTTTAATACTTTCTTAAATATGTCATTTAAACAAACCAATATTTCAGTTTTAAACAGTTAACATGTACTGCAGCACTGAATAATTCACAACCAACATTTCACTGCACAGTGAACAACACTGACATTATCCAAGTCTGTATTACATGACCTTTCACTCATGGGCTTATTGCTCTTCTGTTGTTTGAAACAATAGGGTAAAATCTACGAGTTAGTTCTAAGTAAGATCTATTTTGTCAGTTGTACAAAGCATTGTGCACTTTTAAAGGTCATGATTTGTTAAAGGTTAAAAAAGTAACATCACTGAATAAGGAGGACACGGGATCTTGACCAAAGCCTTACCTGAAAGGCTTTTCTCCTCCAAGTGGTGAAGTAGCAGTACTCCAGCTCTTTCGATACTCCTCTCGTTCAGCTTTCTTTTTCCGAAGAGGAGCTGGTATATAGGCAGTCTGGTTACTCTTATTTGGGAGATACTGGTTAAAAGGCACAACTGATTTAGGTTCACCATACGATGTCCGCCTCGCAGACATATCATCTTTTTTCACATCTGGCATCTTTCGATGTGGCAAATCCGACTCAGAGTCACTACCTCTCCCTATTGAGGGATAAGAGAAAAAAAAAGATAATTTTTACTCAAACTTGCCAACATGGAAACAAAATCCTTACTTAAAAATACAACAGCATTTTATAACAATGGTCCAAAATACTACAAATAACTACAACATCTTCAGAGATTTCTCTTTTTTTAAATAAGGAGGACAACCCCTGTTGAAATGACATTTGTCATAGAAACTTCCAACACACAGCTAGGTACAGTGGATTTATATTCCTATTTTAAATCAGTTAGTGAAAATACCAGGCACACCCCCTATAAGCAGTAGCAAATAAATATTTATTTTAGGGACCTATCTTATGCAGCCAAAAACCAAAGCCTAATACAAGAAAAAGGTCACAGCAAGTTACATTTTCAAAGGCTTGATAAAATCAACTGTATTGTTCTAGCCTCAAGTTTACCTGAACCCAAGTTTGATCCTGGGTCTGCCACATCCCAACCTTAAAAGCCACACTACTGGTTATTCTGGGTGAGGTGGTGAGAGTGTCTATGTCTCTAACTTTATTTTGTCTATCCTGAACTTGAAATAGCTCCTGGTGAAAGTCACAATGAAACTGGAATGTTTTGAAAATCTGCATTTTTCAACAATTATGTCAAAACATTCCTACCCAGCTCTACTTTCTCCAGGAATAGGCAAATGCCATCTCTTTTCAGAATGATGCTAAGCCAATTTTGATACCCCCAAGATAGGCATAATTGGGGCAATTGTAAACCAAGCAACTCAGATCTATACTACAGCCTTAAGCTGACCTACTTTAAGTCAACTTACAACCACTGTGGTAATTACTATGTTGTTTGATGTCCACTTTTCCTTCTTTTCTGTAGTGGTGCACGTCTTCACAAGGAGCGTTTCCACCAACTGTAGAGGGGTAGTACACGGGCTGAAAGTCTCTGCATAACTCCGCTTTGGGGGTTTCATGCCTCACTGCTCCTGGCTGGAAGTGGAGAGGGCAGCTGTCCAGGCTACTTGCCTCCCTTATCTGGAGCATGCGTAGTCTCTGGGCAGCATCCCTGCTGGGAGTGGGGAGCAGCCAGGCTCTAGATGCACAATTTTCTTGTCACTTTGACTGCTCCAAGACAGCCGACAACCAATGCAAGCAATGCAGTCCTACACGATGACACTAAGTGCACCAACAGAACCTTTTATGGAGGTGGAGTTACCATTATTATTAGGGCACTTACATTGGCAGAACAAGGTTTTAGTGTGTTCGTGCACATAACTGAGTCAACATACACTGATTTATGTCAACCCAACTGTGTAATGTAGACCAGTCCCCCGGTAATCTAATCAGTCCTCCACTAGCTCATGGATCAATTACTTTAGCACATGAGAACATGAGTAGAAACTTAAGTCTGAAAGAGAAAAGGGTAAGTCGATAGATAATTTGGAAATAGCAGATAAGGAAGGAAAAGGCAGAAGTGAATGGGTCAGAACAAATAGTTTGGGAGGTACTTTTTGGTGAAGAATGGAAACAAACGGTGGAAAGATCAGAGTCAGAGTGCGAGGGGAAGAGGTAAGATGCAAACAACGTTAAAGAAAGTTGTCGGACTCTTCTTGTGAATTTAAGCTACTAATTGATTTTGTTGGTATTCATGATCCATTTTTTAAATTCACATTCACGGACAACACTAAGTGAATAATATTTTAGTGGCAAGAATTTTCTTAGAAAGCTAAAGAATCACAAACACAACTATTCTTTATAAGAGCATTTGCAGCAGAAGTACTGTCCAGTGATTTGGAAACCTCTTTCAAGACAATCTTAGCAAAATTATGTATATTTATTACAAAAACTTGCCAAAGCCAAGAGTAACTCCAGGTTATAAAGGTTAAGTTTCCAAAACAGGGAACAGAAGAAAATGCCACACAATTTAGAAAACCTATCAGACTGCGCAAACTGTATTTGCATTATCTAGCTCAACAATTAAGGTTAACAAATAAATTCACAAAAAATCATGATGAGATTGTGGATAACTGAAAGAGAAAAGAGGGTTAAATGTGTCAGGAATGGTGTCTGTAAAGGATAGTTCATTCCGTTGCAATGCCAAACGTACTTGCTTGGAGATGGATAAGAAAAGGGTAAAAGACCAGAGTGAGGAAGGACCACTAGACACACTATTGGAATCAACAATTCAGCCGAATTCACAACATGCTTTTTGCCAGGTATTTTTGCATTGCCCAGATTTAGGTTCAGAGGAATTAGCATATGAATGCTGGCTAGTAACATATTAATGAAGCACTAGCATTTAGCATGACGACGCGTGCCTTATTTTTAAGCTGAGCAGGGCCACAAGATAGGAATCAGGAGTGGGGCATGTGCCTTAGTGCTACTTTTATGCCATAATCTAATTTTGTCCTAGTGTTTAGTTCTGTCCTGAATGCAGATGGATCCTGAAAGAACAGACTCTGATCCACCAGCAAAGGCCCATGATGGTAGAAGAAATGAAAGCAGATCCTCTGCTTCCTCCCTTGGTCGCCTCTAGGATTGTGGGTCCAGGTCTACAAGCACTGACATGTCTAGATAACAGCATGTCAGAAGACAAAGGGCTTCTTTAACTTTCAGTGATTTTTCTTGTCACTTGTTTTGAGCTCTCAGCCTTGACGCTATTTATAAAATTCATTTGCAGTTATCTTTGTGCTTTCACATGCCCTTGTAGGAGCCCAAAATGGGAACAAAAGGCAGCAGATCTCACCAGCCTGACCAGTATTCCCTGCTCCTACTAACATACAAAGCAGTGTTCAAGGAGCCTCTGTAGATGCACGAAGGGAATATCACCTCTAGTACCACAGATGGCCAAATAAAGTATTTATTTACGAGATAGAACAGCTGTCTCCAACCTTATGAAACACAAAATCAGCTTTTCAATGTAAGTGCAATGTAAGATATGCCTCAAACCTTGCCCCACTTCCTTCCCACCCCTTCTCTGAGGCCTGCCCCTGCTCCACCCCTTCTCTGAGGCCTCACCGTACTCACTCCACCCCCCTTCCTTCCACATCCTCATTCACTTGCCCCGGGGCTGGGGTAGGGAGTTGGGGTGCAGGCTCTGGTTTTGGGCCAAGGAATTTGGAGTGTGGTGCAGAGTGTGGGAGGGGCTCTGGGTTTAGTCCAGTATTGGGGAGTGGGGCCCAGGAGGGGGTTCAGAGTGCAAGCTCTAGGAAGGAGTTTAGATGCAGGGGAACTCAGGTCTGGGGCAGGTGATTGGGTGCAAGAGGAGGTTCAAGACTTGGACAGAGGTTCAGGAAGCAGGCTCTGAGACATTTAACCAAGACAGCGTCTGGGTGGTGGAGCAGTGGGGTTAAGGCAGGCTTACTCTTGCCCTGGCCCTGCACCACTCCTGAAAGCAGCTGGCATGTACAGCAATGGCACCATGTGCTGCCTCTCAGCTACAGGCGCTGAGCCCACAGCTTCTACTGGCCACAGTTCTCTGTTATTGATCAATGGGAGCTGCAGGAGTGGTGTCTGCAGGCAAGGACAGTATGTGGTGACCCCCTGCTCTGCCTTTCTCAGGGGCTGCAAGGACATGTCAGGGACGTGCCAGAAGCAGCAGTTACCACAGGGATAATGACTCCAGCCACGACAGGTTAGGCATTTTAAAACTCACTATCCAAAGAATTAAATGTAAGCGTAAGAGAGAAATGAAAATTATGAAATGCACAGACCAGTCAGAAATCAAATATGACCTACTTTGCAATCAGTAAAAAAAAGTAACAACATGTTACTTGGGTTGGGAGATGAGAGTGAAGGACAGTGTGTGTTCATGAGAATGACAGAGCTTTACATTGCCAAGTTCCCTCCATCCCCTTCTCTCTGTGTGGAGATAAGGTACAGAAGTGGGGGGAGGAGGGACACCCTGACATCAGCGACCCCCTTCTTCTCCCTTTGACATCCTGGACAGCAAGCAGGAGGCTCCCAGGAGGGCAGCTCCAAGGCAGAGGGCAGGAGCAGCGTGACAGTGGGTGGAGGGGCAACTGAAGTGCCAGTGCTTGATAGCTTCCTGGCCAGACCAGTCAATATAACCTGTTGGAGGCCCCAAGATCTACCGGTAGATCCCAATCTACTGTCTGGTTACCACTGGGCTAGTACCACTGTTACAATTAATGGCTGTACTCTTATATTTGTCAGTGTATCTATAGCTCCACTATAGTTTAAGAGACTGCTGAATAGTCTTCTCTGTTTCTTCTTGCAGAGTCCATTGCCTGGGTGAGGACATCAAGCCAGCTCCCAAATGGAAATATTAACCATAGACCCCATTAGGGCAACTACTTACTGGTTCAAGTTAGCATGTTTTAATGATTAATCTGCCTGAGCTGTACCTACCACTGACACACCTAATAACCTCTTTCTCCAGTTTGTTTCTTTTACATGAGTAAAACAGCCACCATTTCATTTGGTTATTAAAGTTACTACAAGTTGAACCTCTGTAATCCAGGACTCCCTGATCCAGCAACATCTGTCATCCGGCAGGATCACGGGTCTTCCAAGACCAGAGGGTCCCAGTGGAGGGCTGGCGCCTGGGCTACCCATGCTGCTGGGCTGCCCAACACACTGAAAACGGGCAGCCAGGCACAACCCAGTGAGGCAGCCTGACAGAGCAAGGAATTCAGCGTGCCACAGCAGGGCTACCCTGTGGGGCAAGAAACCTGGTGAGCAAGGAACTGGGCTGCTTGGCATAGCAGGGAAGGAGATGGGGGGACAGGCCAGCAGGGCAGTGAGGCTGGTGACAAGGGGGAGCTGGGCAGGAGGCTGGCAGATGGTCCAGGGCTGGGAGGCTCTGGTAGCAGGTGAGCCAGATATGTTTGAACAGAAATGATGGATTTTCAGAATATACTATATAGGCCAGTGGTCAACCAACAAGTAGATCAGCATCTACCGATAGATCTTGGGGCCTCCAACAAGTGATCCTAACTGGTTTGGCCAAGAAACTATCAAACACTGGCACTTCAGTTGTTCCTCCACCCACTGTCGTGCTGCTCCTACCCTCTGCCTTGGAGCTGCGCCCCTGGAGCCTCCTGCTTGCTGTGCAGGGTGTGGGGAAGTGCTGATGGGGGGGTGTCCACTCTCCCCCCACTCCTGTAACCCATCTCCACATAGTGAGGAGGGGGTGGAGGGAGCTTAGCAATGCAAATCCCTGTCACTCTCACACACTCTGTGTGCATGTCTGTCATTCTCACAAACACACACTGTCCTTCACTCTCCTCTCCTCATGCAACACATATGTGAAGGGCGATTGTTATTTCTTTTACTATTTGCAAAGTGGGTTAGTTTTTTGTTTTTGACTAGTCTGCATTTCATAATTTTCATTTCTCTCTTAAGATTTTCATTTCTCTTTTATGCTTAATTTTAATTCTTTGAGTAGTGATTTCTAAAATGCCAAACCTGTCGTGGCTGCAATAATTATCCCTATGGTAAGTGCTGTTCCTGGAAGTGGCTGGCATGTCCCTGCAGCCCCTGAGAAAGGCAGAGCAGGGGGTCTCCACACGCTGTCCTTGCCTGCAGACACCACTCCTGCAGCTCCCACTGATCAGTAACAGGGAACCATGGCCAGTAGAAGATGTGGGCTCAGTGACTGTAGATGAGGGGCAGCACATGGAGCCATTGCTGCATGTGCCTGTTGCTTTCTGGAGGGGTGGAGCAGGGGCAGGACTTCATAGAAGGAGCAGGCAGGAAGGAAGTGGGGCAAGGGTATTTGGGTGTGAGGTAGATCTTACATTGCACTTAAATTGAAAAAGTGATATTGTGGTTAAAAAGGCTGGAGACCACTGATGTAGGCAATTCATCTTCCATGCTTACCACGGAAGTAACTGAGCTGCTCACCTAGGACACTCTGTGAAGAAAGCTGAAGAGAAGGCATTTCTATCCTAGAAGCTTTGGATTGGAATCACACTTAACACAAGCTCTAACTCTACTTCCTAGAGGATAGTTGTTCATATTCACAGCACCCCATACTCCGACACAACAGGACACACAGAGGATATTCTGGACAAGTTGAAGGTCAGAGCTGCATGCCCTGGCTGAGTGGGTTGTAAGGACGACTATCAAATCACTTGGTTTTTTGCCAAGAATTGCCATAACTGTATTTTCACAAGACTGTACTTCAAAATTGTCCTCGGTATCAACAGTTTCCAACAGGTTTCCATTTTCTCTTAAATGACCAGTTGATTTATAGGGCATTTGATTTTTTTTTTTTAACATTTTCCCCCTCTTGTATTCTTAGATCTTGCTTCAGCCTTGCTTATGAGCTGATATATGTCTGCAAAATGTATCTGCAAGCCTGAAAACTAGAAAAACATCATGTCATAAATTACACCTGTATGGTATAACTCATTTTACTATCCATGCTAAAGTAACTGAAGTAGACCACAAATAAACTGCTGGCAAAATTATCTGTTGACCCAAAGAAACAAAAATCTGCATTCAAAGAGTTTCTTTTACCATTTCACAGGCGACATCATTATTCAAAAACTGCATCCAGCTTTTGAATGGCTGCCTTTGCACTGAAAGTGCTAGGTGACACAGTCAATGTTTTGCATGCGTCTCCTTGTGATTGACACTTACCATCGCTGCTTCCTCTGAGCACTACATCTGGAGATGGTGTCTGCTGTGAGCGGGAACCAAACGAATCCAGACTGTCAAAGGAATCATCTCTGCCATGGCGAGGGGGGGAAAGAGAATCGCTGCGTTCAGAGTCCCAGCAATCAATATAACCACTGTCACGGATGTTGCGTCTGGGGCTTTCAATATCTTCGGTTTCCTACATGCAAATACAGAAGTTACCTCTTCAAAAAGAAGCTGGCGACACAAAAATGAGATTCATTATGCATTTGAGTCCAAAGTATATTACTAATGCAATAAAATCTCTTTCCCCAATCATAGCACTTCTTTTGCTCAAATCAAAACCATGATATTTCAATAAAACTTCCTTTCATACTGATTAAAAAGAACACACATGCTTTGGATTAATATAGTTATTTCAAATACAGTTGCAATAGGCAGGTTAATAAAAGTATCAAAACTGAAATAAACCTGAAACTTAACTTGTCCTCCGTAGTCCATAGCCCCCTGGCAAAGGCATTATAAATTTGACCTCATGGCTGAGTCAGGGATAAACTCACTATCCTGCAGATTAATTCCTCCGGTCTATCTATTGTATCTGGCTGGGACACCAGCAGGCAGCATTTGTTGTTGTCGCTTCAGCCCGGCAAAATAATGAAGCAGTGTGTCCCAGCCTCCCTCTACCTTGAAGAGAAATTCCTACTATGAAAGAGGGATGTCTTTCTAAAGCAATCAGCAATGAAAAATATGCAAAACGCTTTTCCTGATGCCTCTGAAGAATTCAGTCGTGCTCTTTACTCTTTGCCAGCTCCTGGCTCTGGGGGATATGAAAGCACTTGTAGCTGACCCACATGTTCAGAGCAGTGAGAACAATGGTTGTCTTTGACAGCCCTGTGATTATAAATTCTTTCCAGCGCAAGCAGCACATACTAAAATGCTGAAACTCCAGCAGAGAGAAAGGTCAATAGAAGCCATCCTCACCCTTGCATTATAATAAATCCCTTGTTTCATCCAGTTTCTTAACATTAATTACAATAGCACAGGCTGAGAAAAACAAAAGTACCTACTCTCTTATTCAAAAGATAAATCTCTATAGTTTTTTTTTCTCTGCCAGACTGTCACTGAAAAAAAAATAATCAAGTGACGTGGGTGACATTAGCAGGCTGACATTTTTAAATCTGAAATGACTGGAATGTACATTTTTTTCCTGACACACTTAAATATGAATTTTCAAGTTTCCAATTAAAAACACCTATGGACTACAGATAGTTGGAGCTAGATAACTGAGTTGAGAGTATCTCCAACTGTCCTTTACAGTTACTGTTGTCATTATTAGTATTGCCAGTGATCCGATCAATCAACATCATGGTATAATAAAGTCAACAGCCTCCTTAGCATAGAAGAATTACTGCAGAAAGAGGAGCTGAGAAAGGGAACATCATAATATCAATCAGCAGCTCAATATTCAAAGGGAGAGGCTAAGAGGGAAAGGCAAGATTAGACACTTGTGTTCTGTAGACTTTCCAGGAAGAAGACTTAATTAGAGCCACGAAATAACTTGCAGCCAAAATATGTCCAGCACCAAAGGTTCCTTAAGGCCAAGCATAATCACAGTAATACCAATAGTCACTGAGTACACACACTGGGATTGAACAAGTTTTGTTCCATTTCTAAATTTAAAATATGTTAACAAGTTAGTGCGTTAATTCTATGTGTTTTCCTCTCTTATCCCTGGTTTAGTAATGGTATATACACACATTGTTCAACATATACCACCTCTGTCTTCCTAAAATCTACATTAAGTATATAGCTCCAAGAACAATTACATCCTTTCAAAATCCTCTTTGTCCTTTTCCTTGAAACTATTTGAAATCTTGTCCAGATCCAGATTCAGAAAAAGGTTCTCTAAAGTTCCCCATCTTTACATATCAATCAGCTGGTATTCAGTCCTCTGGCAAACTTCCACTTTCTTAAAATAAGATGTTAGAAAGTCATGGAAACACCCAATAGCAAGAGGGATAGAAATCAGATAAACTATTCAAAAGTTCAGGCTGAAAACACACATTATTCAACTATTTCACGCTTTAAAACACTGAATGAAGTGCGAATGAATGGACTCCAAAATTCTCCATTTTATTAGCTGGTTAACTTTAATTTAGTTTACTTTTTAATTACTGGGGGGGGGGGAAACTATAGATAAAAGTATGGAAGTGTACAAAAGATAGTGCTATATACTATAGTAATTCTCCTGTAACACATACTATTTAGCCTTCCTGTTGGCATCTCATTCTCCCAAAAGATTGTTACAGGCTAGTACAGATACTTGCTCTAATTTTGAGTGTGTATTATCTACTGAATAGAAACACTCTACATTTCATTTACATCAGTTCTGGGACACTTCTTGAAAAGATATTCCCATAACATAACACAATGCACTGGCCAAGGGGAGGTAGTAGGAATCTCTCCTTTCCAGAAACACAGAACTCCTGTTCCTAGTCTGACAAGGTTATAAAATAACACTGAAGCCTAACATTTTTATGTATGGTAAAGCTGTCAGTGATGTAGGGGCTTCACTTTTCCAACCTTGGGCCTTACCCAAATGTAATTTTTTTGTGTGGTGGAGAGAGTGGGCCAGAGAAGGAAAAACAAATCTTCAGTAGATGGATGCAGAATTACATTTTTTCTAAAAAGACAGGTTTTTTGAAGCTTCCCAGGACTTCAGAATGACAGAATTAAGTCACAGGGCAATGGGCCAGAAAGCCAGTTAGGATGTTAAATGTACATCCTACAGATATCATAACTGAATGTATTATCTCCATATATGAATTTTATAAATACACCCATAAACATAAAAATATTTGCTATTGTCCTATTGCTGAAGGAAGAGGCACAGTAAGGCCCCTCCTTTTTTCCCTTCACTGTAGAGATGCATCTTTTATTTCCCCAACAGAACAAGGCAATTTGCCATGTTTTCTTGCTCCTATGGCTGGGTTCACACAGGCAATAGACTCCCCTAAGAAAGACAGTCTAAGAGAAAGGAAGAGAAGCAAGATGGCAGCTTATCTAAAGGCTTTCTCTATTCATTATGTGGTAACCGAAATCGACTAGTTGAGTTCTTCATTTCTGGGAACCGTTTACTGCAGGTCCCTTGGGATTCCCAAGTCTGAATGCCCCAGATAGATCAATGAGTCAGTAGCAGGCAGCAGTGCACAGGCAAGCAGAATGTGCCAGCCAGCCATGGTGGGATGGACTGTTTTGTATGCAAGGCAAAGCAGGAGCCTTTGTGAGATGCAGTAGGTAGGCAGTATCTACTTCTATCACTATTCTACTTCTACAATGGTAGACTTTGGGAGGGGAAAGGAGAAGATCCAGAAATTCTGATTATCAGTTGCCAGCCATGAAGTACTTATTCACTATCCCAGTGACCTCAGTAGAGCCACAAGGAGCAACAGTGTGAGGAGTTTCAAAATCCACTGCAGCCTACTTGTAGTACTACTGACTGGGCTGTGGGATCGGTGTTACACTCTGCACAGGCCTCTTTTCAGCAGCAGAACCTGGCTGATCTGATCTGCAATGGCCTGTAAATTCTGACATCCATTTTCATCCAAGATTAAGAGTTTGGCTAAACACAAATGATCAAGGTTCTGCTACATGTGACATACACATACATCTCCTTTCCCCACCCACTTTGACTGTTGAAATTTTATATTCTTCAATTGAAACTTTTGGTTCAACTGAAAACTGGCTGAGGAAAATATTGTTCACCACAGTCTGAGAGTTTTAATATGTTCTTTAATCAGATTCTAAGGTTTTAGGCCCTCTGACTCACTTTGCAAGTTTTCTCTCTCGAGAGCAGTCAATTGGTATGTGATAAGCAAAGAGCAGGAACACCGAATTATGAACATTACCATTTTAACAAGAACAGGACAATATATTTTCAGCAATTAGTAATTCTCAAAAATACATACTTTTAGGGCACCAAAACTATTAATGAATTTGGATCAAACTCAGGGTATGTCTACCCAAAATTTTTATTTTGAGGATGCAAATAGCACTACATATTTGCGTACTTCCTCTGTGTTTTTTTCCAGAAGAAGCTCTTCCGGTATGTACCCGCAGCTACATGCAGCTGAATTTTGAAATAAACCCCTAATTCGAAAGACCCCTTATTCCTCCTACAACGAGTCTTTCAAAATAGGGTGAAATAAGGGTTTATTTCAAAATTCGGCTGCAGCGTCTTCCGCAAAAAAAGCGGAGGAAGTATGCAAATGTGCAGCGCTACTTGCATCCTTCTCCCGAAATAAAAATTGTGTGTAGACATACCCCAAGTGAATAGTTCTGGCAAAAAAAAAAAAATCAAAAATGTCAAAATATCTCATTTTAGCCATTTAGCAACAAAATGTGTAGACTTTTTGTTTTGACATAGCTTTTCATTTCAAAATTTAGCAAATTAAAAAAGTGCAAACAAATAAAAGCATGGAAAACCTGAAAGCAATTCAATGTGTATACAATATATTTTATTCTACCTGAAGTAAACCAAAAAAATGTTTGTTTCAAATTAAACAGAACCTATTTCTCCCCACCCCAGATTTTTCATTTTGGCCCCTGAACCAAATCATCACTTATTCACTCAGCTCTAAGTGTTATGTTATATAACTATCTAAAGTCCTGCAGCTGGTAATTTCTACATCCATAGCATCTGCAAAAAAAAAAAAAAAAAAAAAAAAAATAGGAAATAGCTATCCCTGTATTTACAGTATTTAATATAGTCAGGAGCTTTCCAAAAAAATAACTCACTCCCACTAACCAAGCTCACTGTCCCCTTCTAAGTTATAACAACAGATATCAGAAAGCATTATTGTGGGACTTCAATCTTCAATAATTAAAAACTAAATTTCCAGCCAGAAACACCAACAAAAAAGATACCTTTCTCATCTGGGCCAGCAATCCCTCAAACTCCTTCAGGTTCAGTGTTGCTCCACTGTATGAAGTGCATCTGTTTGCGGCTTTCCCCAGCCAATAAATGGTAACTAGAACCTACAGAAATCAGGAATCATTAACTGAAAATCTACACACAATTTGCTAAATTTACTTTTCCTAAGAACATCTTCATTTATTTTGAACTCCAAATCACTAGTGAATTTGAGAATTTGTTCTAAATCTGAATTCCACTCTTCGGGTTAGGAAGGGAGGATGGTTAAATGGTTAATAACAAATACACAATGCATATATTAAAGGTATAATAATCTCACAGAATTTGCAGTTTATTAAAAAGATACACTAAGCTTGCTGACATTTTAATAAAAACCACTGCTGTGTCATATCTGGCTGATAAGTAAGCAGCAAAAATAAAGCTCAATCAATATTCAAAAGAACCCACAAAGTGAAGAAAACTCAAAAGAATTACCTTCCAATAATGAAGATTTCTAAAGCTCATGGTAAAATAAAGGCAATGGTGGCTGGATAAAATTATTAATAATGGTATTCCTTCATTAAAATACATAATGAAACACACAATAAATATGTCAGGGTACATTTGAAGAAAAGAAAAGTGAGTTCAGTTTTCACCTACCCCAATATTATTGATAAGAGTCAATGAACTTCACCTCTAATTTTATGACTCAAGAAACCCATAGATCAATATTAAAAGCTTGGACCATCTAGCAGTTTTTCTGCACCTTAGGTGGAATAAGTTGATGGTTTCACCTAACCTTCAACTGGACATTTGCCATAATGAAGAAACCACCATCAGAAATAAGATGGCCTATGCCTAAGTTTAGCCAAGGCCTAAGCTTATAGACCCTTACATAAACTCTCATTCCTTGAGGTAGTTTCTCTAGGTTAAGGTCATATGCAATGATGGAGCCAAGAAGAGAAACCTGTCTGGCACTGGCAGGACTGTATCTGTTCTGGTAATAGAGAATTTCAGTTGTCCAAAACTCTCAAAATCCAACATCTTTCTTGAATGCTTAAAACTATCATACTTTTTTAGGAAGACAAGAAATCATTTCTGGCACCTTTATTTCTTATAATGTAAACCTTTTAATAAGAGTTTTTTAGTTTTATTAATAACCCCATATTTGATGGCAACTATGAGAGAGAGATGTGGATAAGTAGCTGATCATCAAGATAAATTTAACGCAACACAGAATAGCAAATACATGCAAAAACAGCATTGTGCTTTCAAGTTACGTACAAATACTTGAAGACACAGTACTGTTTGGAACTAAGAAACTATCTAATTAATTTTCGTAACTAATTAAGTGATGAGAGGTGGTTTATGCTATGCTCAGGGTTTTTTTGTTTCTTTGTTTTGCAAGCACTCAATCTTCTCCTCCCTTACTCATCCAGAGTTGAAAATATTTCCAAAAATGACACCTTTGCAAGCATTCTGACTGGCTGCCAGTTTGGAGTACAGACTAATGCATCTGGAATGTCTACATTACATAGACACTTATGAATCCTTCTTAACTTTACTTTAAGAACACCACATGCATATAATGCTTTTTAGCCAATTTCCAGGG